TTAGAGTTCTCGTGCGTGCCTTGGTAGTGGGACAACGGTGTGGATTTGTGCATTTTTATTAAATAAATGCCCTAAGAGTTTGACCAGCGCAACAGGCCTTTGTTCGCTTGAAGCTAACAACAATGCAATTTCAACAATGCATCTTAATTTGTTCAGTACTGTTACATTTGAATACATTTATTTATTCTGCATGTAATTTTGTGATTGCATTTCCTTTGTAGTTTTATTCTTGTAATGTCGTGATAGAGATCCTAAATTTCATTCATAATGGTCTTAAAACGTCTAAAATTTGACCAGGGTAAACCTGCAGAAACCCTGGCTAGCTTGGACTAGCAAGTGAAGAGCTGTTTATTTTTATGTTAGGTCACTACGCTCACAAACAACGATTTAGACCTGCATCATTTTGTTTTTGCTTTAAAATAAGCAAAATAAGCTTGTGTTGACTCTGTGGCCCTTCAGTTTTTCAGGAGTTTTTGAATTGGTAAATAAGACAGAAAAATGTAATATTTCAGAACTGAATTTAAAAGAACAGATCAATGGAAATTGACTGTAAATTAAAACATTTTAAGGAGTTTGAATTCTAAAGGGAAATGCATTACAGTGTTTTGGTACACTATTTTATACCTGTTTTATTATATAAAAGTAAAATATTTGTTTTTCATGTAACTAAATTCTTTATTATTTGTAATTCAGCTACAGGCAGCCTGATTTGGTCTCCCATAACATAATAAAGAGCCTAAGTCCCTCCCTTTCTGGAGGATCACCATGTTCGTTTACCATTTAGAGGGCTGTAATGCCATTATAAAACAATTATTGATGCATCTTTTTCTTATTCTATACAGGATTTCTGGATAGTTTTAAACATTTTATTTGCATATTAAAATCCAAAAGAAAGGTCTCTTCATTAGCTAAAAATGACTATTTTGCGACCCTGATGTGCCTTACGAACCTCAGGTCCTCCATTGTTACCACTGTCCTTTCTTCAACAACCAGTTGTCAGACTTCTTTGAAAACTCAAGATGTGCAGGATGTGTACAGGACATAGCTGTACACCAGTTTAATCTAAGGTTGTAACTGATGTTCCCAACCCTAGACAAGGAGGTAGTACTGACATGTAGCTAATTAACATTACTTTGTCACTAATTTAACTAATGTTACATAACAGCCAAAAACGTGCTGTACAGGGGAGATGTCTGACAGCGCTAACTGCCTTTACTTTTCCAGCAGTACCGTTTGACCACCCTGGAACTGACCAGTCTGACATTGGTGTTGCCAATAACCAGGATTTGTGTATCTACTGGGGATGATGTTGCAGAGCGTTCCCATCAGTAATAATAAGAATGTAGCTGTTGAATAATATTTTAAATGCCCATGTCTCTGTCAGTAAGTTAATAGTTAATGTGTGTGTGTCTGTCTCTCTGTTTTTCCCCCCATCATGATCCAGATGTTTCAGGAATGAAAAGTTTCCTGCCAAAAGATCTTCAGAGGCAGTGAGTATTTATGGCATTCTGACATAAAGACAATGAATGGATAGCATGTACACTAGTAGCCTAACTAAACCATGACTGAGAGACTGGAAAATTATTTAATTATTTTCTTGGAGGCTTTTTGTTAATTACCTTTTAAGACCACCGTGTCCGCGTCTTTAACGTAAAACAACAAGCTGTAACAATAGCCAGTTACGGTCAGTGCTGCTGTGCACCCCATGTGTGTAACATTCAGTGTGACCAGCAGAAAATCGGACATTTGTTACTGTTCACCAGTCATGGTGAAGATGAAAATGGCCAATTCTGGTCCCAGCCGATCAATCGGTGCATCCCTAAAAATGTGTGCCTATGATGAGTCCCATCACGTCCATTTATTGTCTTGACTGGGCCCCACAGAGTTTGCAGCTGGAGTTTTATTTTGTGCAAGCATACATGAACAAATGTTCACATGTGACATGGTTATCTTTTATTAGCTATAGTTGATAAACACTATTGTTTTCATTTATTAACACAATAAATAGTTATATTTCACTCTCACTTTTGCTACTTTTACTTGCTGACATCAAACTTGGAGATGAAAGAACACAAGCTTACCAGGCAAGGTTGAACGTTACCTGATTGGGCAAGTGTGTCAAATATGTACTTGCACAAAGTAAATTTTTACTTGCCCCTATACAATATTTTTTATTTATAAGCAGCTATCAAATAACAGGACTTAAGTTAATAATTGTGGAGCTGCATGATTAAATTAATCACAATTTCAATTGCGAAGTCTCCCTGTGCAATTACATAACTACAAATGTGATTTAACTAAACAAAAAAGTGCTGTGTGACACTAGTTTCTATGTGTGCTGCTACTACAACCTAACCTTCGCTAAGCCATGCCCTGAATACAGAGCTGGCCAATCACAGCGCAGTATAGGACTCGCTCTAACCATAGACTGTATATAAGAAATGCACGTGACGTCATCTGTTGGTTTGTGGACCGCCGTTTTGAAGCCTCAAGTATGGCCGATAGGGCGCCGCCATGTTGAGTTTTTGCAACCAGGAAGTGTGATGATACGGAGGTGCTAACAGCTGTATGCGGAGCTAGCTAGGTTGCTTAGCTAGGTGCGTCTGTAATTAACTGTCATGATAACTTTGTCTAGAGAACTACAGTCTTAAATCTAAATGTACTCACCAGAGAAAGTGAACAGCCGACTCCTAATAAGCTTTTTCAACAGTGCTGGTTAAATTTATACAGAGCCGAGGGTACGAGTCACTCTAGCCTGATTGACAGGTCACTATGGTAATGTCCATCAAGCCCTGAAACATACTCTTTCTGGTCTATTTTAAAACAAATGGGACCATAATTTACTAAATGAACATCATGCTGTGTTGAAGAAGACTTGAAACTAGAGACTGAGACCATAAAATCATCAGGAAAGTGTTTACTGAGGGAATAAATCAGCTGACAAGTAGAAACATTTTCTACTAATCGACTAATCTGCCGATTAATTTAATGATTATTCGACTAATCGTTTAGTCTATAAAATGTCAAGAAATTGTGAAAAATGCTCATCACAATTTTCCAGCGCACATAGTGACGTCTTCACATTGTTTAATTTGTCCAACCAATAGTCCTAAACCCAAAGACTTTTCATTTACAACCATAAATGACAAAAAATAGCAGCAACTCCTTACATTTAACAAGATAAAACTTAAAAAATTACTGAAATGATTATCAATCATTTTCTTTTGCCAGACTAACCGTTGCAGCTCTACAGTGTATCGCAATCACAATGTTGTCCATAATAATCGGGGTATATTTCGTTTGTTTTACATATTTATATGATAAGCCAGAGATGTTACATATGGCCCAAAACCGTTATGCACAGTATGTGTAAATGCTAGTAATCATAAGAAACTTGCTTCCATTTTTTTTAGATCAAGCATTGGAGCAAGGTTTACAGGTGGAGAACAGCGAGAAAAGTCCATCACTAGTAAGTATCAACTACAACATATAGGACAAAGTTTCTCTGATGTTTTTTATTTTTAAATGGATTAATCTAGTGATTATTCTAAAGATAATTATTTTATAACTCAATTAATAAAACATTTAATATATCCCAAATCAATATAAAATTATCTGCCATTCTATATCTTATTTAAAAAGTTACTCATAAAAGCATATTATAAAAATGATAGTAGCATATTTTAAAATTAATCTAATTTTCAAGTCAAACCCTAACAAACCCTATTTGTCGGATGCCTGATCATAAAAATACTGGACGTCAAATTCAAAAGGATTGCTGTGACACAGAGAAATTTAAACAATTTAAGTCTTTCCCTGAACAAGTGAGTCAGTATTTTTACTGACGTATTTGACTAAAAACTTGACATTTCTGTCTAGGGGTGTGCAATATGTTTCGTCTCTGATAATAAATCGTACATTTTAAAAGCACCACATTGTTGAGTCTCTGTCTAAAATACATACAGATTTTAAATGGTACATTCACAGTGCAGGCTTTAATGCTCAATTTGGATTTATTGCCCAGATTTATTTTTTTAATTGACTGTTCATAATTTTTTTAATGTGGCCCATATTAGACCTCAATGTGAACTGGCCATGGCCTGAAAGTGACCTGAAAGTGACCCGCAGCGCAAAAAAATAATGTGACGTCACACACAGCACGTAGTACAGAAGTAAACATGGAGGAAGTTAGCAACAGTTTTATTTGATTGATGTGTAAGAAAGTGAATTGGTGAGCAAATGATAACAAGGGCCAGAATAATTTTTATTTATTAAGTCGCTTATACCTAAGGACATTTTTGGCTTTTGCAATTTTGATTTTATTGCCATTTTGAGTGTGTTTATGCAATGGGCATGATTTTTGGTGAAGTTTTTTTTTTCTAAATTTTTAAAAAAGTTTTGAAATTTTTTTTGTGTGGAAAATACACTTTTGACAAAGTGCTGTGGAGCTTCCTCCGCTGGAGTTCCGTGTGCATCTGTGGGACTTGTAGTTCCAGTATTCCTAGAGCGTCGTGTTGAGAATGAGAGCCCCCTCTGAACTACAAGCCACACAGAATTGGAAGTGTGGAAATCCACTACAGCTTTTTATTACCATACCAGATACATTTATGTAGGCATTTAGGCTACAATAAAAATGCCTATTTGTAGCCTATCATTTATTCATCCTGATCATAAAATGACCTAAAAATGTTTGTTTAATGTGCATGTATTCTCCATACTGTAGCCTGTGTTTGAGTTTATTATTGTATAGGATAAGTAAGCACACCTTGAGAAATGTACAATCCAGAGTCAAGTTCCTCATATGCGCACACAGCAGATGGCAAATAAAGCTGATACTGATCGCAACCAAATATTGTTGCATTTTCTAGGCATACCATTGAACGTTTTTACTTTCTAAAAACACAGGATATTACATTAGCTATTTTGCTCTAGAAATAAATCACAAAATGTTAACTTTGAACAAGAACAATTTTATTAACACAATTTAGGCTAGAACAACATTTAGAACGTGTGGATGGGGGCTGGTAGTGTGTGTGTGTGTGTGTGTGTCTGTGATTGTGAGGGGGGGGGGGGGGGGGTCTTCCTGGCGTTCCAGTGCAGGTCGACAGTGGTCCATACAACAAAGGCGTTGTATGCCGAGACGTCCAGGAGATTGTGGAAGAGCGTAACCGGCCAGCGGTTTGTTTTTCTCCTGCAGCTGACAACCTGCAAATGATAAAAACAAAAAAATAATTAGCCTAGCCTAAAATTTATGTCAAGCAGATATTCAGAAATAAAAAATAGCCTATGTTGCCTTTATGTAGAATAACTACTGTGAAATTGCACATACCTTGTCGAGGTTGTCGACACCACCCTTGCACCTATTGTATGCCAGGATGATCGCCGGTTTCTGTTTTCCCAGGCGGATCTCTGGCCGGTGGTGCTTGGCGCTCAGGAGCAACACATTCCTCCCCCGCTTTGGGATGTAAGACACCGCTGTGGCCGTGCGGGTGAAGGCGTGGATCGAGGAGTGTGTCGCTCGTCCCCTCACCTGCAGCAGTTGGGGAGGGAGCTTGGGCTTGTTTTTTCTTATTGTGCCCACAAGGGCTATCTTGCTCTTGAGGTGCTCCTCCGCTGCTCCATATGATGTAAAAAAATTTCGCAGGTGACAACACAGCCCCGGAGCCCCTCTGTCATCTCGCGGAGGACCCGCTTCCCCTGTCCCACCTCTGCGGGACGTCCAGCCGGCCTCCCCGTATATTAGATAGATTTTGAGGCCATATTTTGCCGGCTTGCTTGGGATGTATTGCCTAAAAGCACATCGGCCTCTGAACGGCACCAGCTGCTCATCCACACAGATGTCTCTCCCTGGGTTAAAATTTACAGGGAGAATGCTGGTCCATTTCTCCCACAGTGTCCGGAAGGCCGCCAGCTTGTCATTTCTGAAACACGCTCGTCTGGTCCTTTTATCATCAAATCGAACATTGTCGCTGATGAGGCGGAACTTCTTCAGGGACATGGTGGCCCGGAAAATTATCCGCCCGGTCTCCTCTTCCCACAGGCTCGTCAGTGACTCGTTTTTTGAGCGATATACTCCGGCTAGAAGCAGCAGCCCAATGTAGCCCCTTAGATCTACCAGGTCCAGATCCATCCACTCCTTGTTGGCCCGTCTCCCCTGGAGGTTTGTCATTTTCAGTATCAGGTCCATGATGTCTTCCGTAAGAAACAAATCCATACTGGACTCCAACGTGGCAGCGTTTTCGCGTGGGAGGTAGACCACCTTATTCCGTTCTTTGACAGCCAGATTTCTTCCGCCTCGGTCTCCTCCGTCTCTTCCCCTCTCTCAGGCGAAGAGTCCTCCTCCTCCACACTTTTCTCCTTTTCCTCCTCCTCCATATCCCCACTCACAACTCTCTCCTCGCTCTCCATCTCGCTATCTTCATTCTCGATCTCGCTATCTGCATTCTCCGTCTCGCTCCCCGACTTTGTGCAATACTCCACCGCTTCCTCCAATCTTACATTCTTCCTTCTCTCCATCTTGTGCACAAAATTAAGACTGAGCCAGCTAGGTATACTTATAGCTTTGGCTGCGATCGCAGCTGCATAAACCTACGGAAGGTCTCAAAACAACCCCCGGGGATGTTTTCATAATCCCCGAAGCTGCATCTTTGAAATAGCCTAAGATGTCCAGCTGTTTTATTACTTGAAAGAACGCCCGTGTGTACTGTGTACATGCCAATAATATGGACAGACACACACAAACACACACACACATACACATCAAAGCTTAGCCTGAGAGGGGAAGAGAGTAATTTCTGGAAAATTAAGCCTATTCTAATTCTTATTTCTGAATAGCCTGTCACAACTGGACACACACACAGCAATGTCAGTTCTCTCTTTTTTATTATTAGACCATACAAGTAGGCTATTCCAGAGTGGGTTAGAAACAGATAAAAGGAGAAAGGGATAATAAATAAAGCTATCACCCGAGCTCCATGGGTGACCGGCGCTGGTGCATATGACCGACCGCAAGAGAGTGACTGCTTCCCGTGACACTAGTGCTGCTAAACAGCGCCGGTTTACTCTCACGCCAGGCTTCTTATTGTATTGTTAGAACGTGTGCACGTGCACCCGTATGTGAATGAGGAACAGATAAACTGCAGGAGAAAGAAGCAAGAAGCAAGAAAAAAATTCTGTCGGAGCTCCGTCGTGACACCGACACTACGGTCCATGTCGACCCGGCGGAGGAGCGCTTGTAGGCGGCCAGCATTTCCGGGAACAGCCGGTCTCTGGTTCTCCCATCACTCTGATTCAACCACATGCCACACAAAGGTAAGCAGTGCCATCTGCTGGGTGAAACTGATAATCGAAACTTACATCTTTATTTAACAGACAGAAGGGGTGAGACACTTTCAAAAATGTTTTTATGTGGTAATTTAAGCTAAATATTTGAAATATTTTATAATGGATTTAAATGAGGACAAATTCGTCTTCGGGGTTGGCTTCGTAACAGCTATTAAAGGGATACATGAGTGACATCTGAGTCGTATTAATTCCGATCTGACTGTCCAGACTGATGGATCTTATATGGAATACAAATCCGAACTGAAAAAGATCAGATTCTTGGGCTGTTCACACTGTTCATCAAAAATTCATCAGATCTGTCACATATGAGCAAGAATCATCTGAATGGGTCACCTGTAGTCCGAACACAGCCTGTCCTCTAGGGGAATTCCTGCTTTAACTGGGCACAACACATAATCGATGACTTCATAAGATTCTTGCACCTTGGCAGGCTTCCACAAGTTGGCCAATCAGAAGAAAGTGGGCTTTTAGGCAGAGGAGCCTTAAAGAGACAGGAGCTAAAATGTAATGTCCAGGGCTGAACAATTTTGGAAAATAGTCTAATTGCAATTTTTCAATACGTTTTTCAAAATTGTTTTTTAAGCTCTTTATCTTCTGTATTATTCAAAACAGACAAGCAATAAAGCATGATATTGTATGACGCACCTATAGCATGGCTAAATTAGTTATGAATTTTAATAAATGTATGAGAATTAATATCCAGTTATGAATTTTAATATTCAGAAAAATAAAAAAAATCCATAAAAGCTCTCGTTAAAAGGGCACCACCGGAGTTGTTATAATCCTAGAGTCTACGGACCTCTAGGTAGCTTTTAATAATTATTACAATTATTACTAGTGATCAATTAGTTTAATAATCGCTAATAATTATCTTAAATCAATCAGTCAGTCTCATATCTAAAGGGTCAATTCTCTTGGCAGGGACGTGGAAATAGGCAACACACAGTTTCCTGATTACAGTGAATTTATTAATAACTAAAGTTAACTAAATCGATATAAACGGGTGGTTAAATACAGGGAAAATAAACAATTGCTGAACAATGAGAATGGAGGTTCGATTGTGGGAAGCATTTGACTCATACGGCAGAGGAGAACTAATGAAAGTAAGCTATGAGTTTAGGAGTTAAAAAGCGAAACATTAACGGACATCCCTGATCACAGAATGTTGTTAAGTCTTACGGCTTGTCGGCCTGCTTTGGCCTGTTGCACGGGTCCCACGCTAGCTGCCCGATCCTGGCTTTTTGCTAGGGATTCTCCGGGGTTCGCCGTCTCTGACTGAAGAAAACACCTCCTCCGTCTGGCAATTCGGCTGTTTTCAGGTTACCTTCGTTGCTGCTGGCAAGACCACGTGGCTTGGTCTGACCTCGGTGAAGTTGGCTCAACGAAAAAGCTTAAAAGGGAACTTGGTCGTTCCTGAATTAGTCCAGTGTAACTTAACGGACTGATAACTTCAACAAAAGAAAGAAAGAAAATAAAACAAACTGAGGGGCAGATCGATGTCGCGGCACTTCGCGTGTGTAGCTTCAAGCGAACAAAGGCCTGTTGCTCGTCGACTCTGAGGACGTTGCCTGGAGAGATACCCCGGACGCGTGCCGAAGCGTCCAGAGAGCAGAGCGGAAGGCCGAGGGGAGGAGAAGAGCAGAGAGCGGACAACGTCGCGTGTTGCTCTTTTGTTGCCTGGGGCGTGGTTCCCCAGAGGGCGTTTCAGGTTTCCCGAGGGACTGCCTTTCTAAACTTAATGTCTAAAAGAAAAGAAATCTATTTGCGCGTATTATAATCAAATATTTTGCACAATCTAACCTCAGCGGTCAAACGGTTGTACTGTTCTAAGTTAAGCATTTGGTAACAGGAAACAATTGTCACATTATTGGTCAGGATATTTTTACATTTAACGGCATTTCCAATGATGGTATGTAATACTTATTTTGTCCACTTGGGGGAGCTCAGATTACATGAGGAAAGCTTAGATTAATCCAAGATCATCTTTCCTTAGAAACTGGGGAATTTAGTTATTCAGCCTTAAATTCAAGCTGGATAATTAAGAGTATAGGATGACATTTCTTTATCATCATTTCTAAAGGAATTATGTGAGAAAGTATTGTGAACAAGTATTGGTTACACATTAGATGAAGGAGTGTCCTTAATCTTGCTGAAAATAAAAACACTGCAAAAATAATTTATTTAGATTCTTTTCAGCACTAATATCAACAGATACAGATATAGAACAGATAGCAACAACATGTTAACATAAATATTCAAATTGAGGCAAACGTAATCAAGTAACTAAAGATTTAATTAAACTTTATTAAATGCTTTGAGTCTTTGGAGACTGCAGTCTTTGGTTATTTAAAGTTCAGGAGGTTTATGTCACAACTAGGCGTAAAGGGGGTATCCCTTTGATGGGGTAATGAAACACGGAGCAAGGTCAGTTGCCACGGTTACATGGGGGGGCAGTTTTGATGGGCTGTTCAGGGAAATGCTAACCGTTGGTTAGTTTCCCTTTTGTCAGTTTAACAGTCAGGCACCCCGTTATCAGCTTCGTAGATCAAAAAGGTGCCAGTTTTATGGTCAGGGATTGCACTTAGAGAGAGCAACTTTTCCACCCCCCCTGCCGTTGGGGTCTCTTCAGCAGTCTGTTGAAGTTGATCTCCCAGAGAGGAAAAGAGGGATTTGGAGTAGCTCCAAATTTATTTAATATAAAATGCACAAATCCACACCGTTGTCCCACTACACAACACAATATTAGATAAAAATACACTGTTCCCCTTCGAGGGACCTCGAACTGCGTCGGTTACGACACTATGGGAACGCCTCTAGGCGAAGCAGGTCTGAACTTGAATGAAATCACTCCAATCCTATTGGCTTGTTGCTAGAACGGTAAGGTGTGACGGAATAACCGGAGGAGTATAAAGCACACCTGTACACACTCATCATTAGCTTTTTTCTATTCAGCTGGCGCTCTGTATGTTGTTTGAAGAAGCTCCAGTCCTACAAGCAGTGAATGTCTTACCTGAGGAAGAAGTCTGCCAGCATGTCCGGCAATCAGATGTACAGAAGGTGTGTTTTTTTCCTTGCCCTCGGTACATCACGGATGGAGATTCTCATGAGATGTGTGTCTCATGTTTGGGGATGGAGCACGCCCGGGCAGCTCTCGAGGGGGCTGCCTGCGGCCATTGCAAAGCCCTTTCCGTGTGGGTACTGAGGTCCCGCATGGCTCTCTTTTCTGAGGATGGCCGGATGTGTTCTTTTTTTCTTTTCGGGACGGCTGAGGCTTTTACATGGGTTTCGACTACAGTTCAAAACCCGCTCTCCAAAATTCAACAGAAGAGAGGGGGTTGTTTGGACTGTGGTCCACCCGGAGCAAGGTCCGGTGTTGGGACAGGAAGTTCGTACTCTGCTGAGGAAAGGAGACTCAGCTGTGGCTGCAGGTCTGCAGCAGCAAGACGGTTGTGAGAAGTTCAGTTGGCTCTGGTAAGCTAACATTAGCTCATCCGGCTAAATTTAAGCCATTAACTGAGGAACTGCTTCTCTAAATTAGTGAACAGGATACTTAATCAGCAGTATTAAATTGGGGATGTTACTTTTTGAGCGTGGAATATGTGAATTACTGAATTACAGTAGGCTATTTCAAAACTAGCTTAAAAAGCTTGGTATGAAATATTACAGATATGAGATGACATGTTGAGTGCATCATCAATGTGTGTTTAAAGTGTGTTAAAGTACCAAAACTGACCACTAGTTGGTGTAACAGCAAATGAGCAAAAAACATAAACACACTTACACACTTCATGTTGCAAAATTGTGATGTTTCAGGACATGGGAGATTTTTGGTTTAGAGGCATTCAAGGAGCATCTAGAACTCTGTAGTGAGCTTGGAAAAATGAGGACCTCCAAAATGTCTTCATTTTTCCAAATGTCCTGATATTGAAGGTGTGTTATCATAAAAATGTCCTTGGTTGTCATGAAAACAATTGCACACACACACACACGCTTGCTGATCTGTTGTTTGTGTTATGTTTTTGTATGATTTGTTTTATTGGCTTCATTTCATTTTGCTTAGAATAGTTAATAGTGATTTACTTGCTAAAGTTGTTGATCATTGATCTCTGCTTGAGTTGAATTAATCCTGTTATAATTTTAAGAAGTCGTTGCCTGTGATTATTTGTGTATAATGTTGTAGTAGGAGTTGGTTACCACGGCCAGTGTACAAACCCTCTTTTAGACTGATCATACTTGGCTCATATTTGGTTATTGGTCCCTGATTCAAGGGTGGTGCCCCGTATTTATTTATTATAATTAATAATTTTGATTATTAATAATTTTTAAAAAATTTCTAGAATATCTTTGATATTCAGCTAATAACCAAACCTGGCTGTATGACAAAACCCCCAACATACCAGTATATACTGTTACTTATACTACTACTTCTATTACTACAAATACTAGTACTAACTAGTACCACAGTCTTCACCTATCCTACCAGTACAAGTACTAGTAGGTTTGGAGCAGGTTTTGGAGATACGGTTTCACATGAGGCCCGCTGAGAGTAACGATAGTGGCGCGGTTTGCTCTGTTAATAGCATGTTAGCGTAAGATGCTAGTGTGGGCCACACGTCTCCACTGTTTTAGGTTAGAATAATATACTGGCTGGCTCCATAAACGATATGTAGCATGTTGGAATATTTTGGAAATGGTGTTATGTATTTATGTGCTTTAGTGATGAATACTGTTATACTGTCAGCGAGTCAAGAGTCATATTTCGTGGCGTCAGAGTATCCAGTGTATTTTGCACTGCAGTAATAGCCAAAAGTATTTGGACAGACGAATATGGAAATGGTTGTGAAATGTATCCTTTAAGAGAAGTGAAAAGAATGCATTTACAGAAACAGGCGGGCAGATATCTTCTGTGTTCATGTGTACCATGTTTGGTGTGATAACAGACCATTTACAGGTGACCATGACTCATCTGCATTAGAGATCAACCAATCAGCAAACATACATCATGAGCTGTTCTGTCACATCCTGTCTGTGTCTGTATATAAGTTGCAGTTTCTGGTATTTTGAAAAAGCAGAACTCCGGTCGACGCTGTTTTGCTCTGTTCTTTTCTTTTTTGCTGATTGTACTTTAATAAAAGACACTTTGAGTAAAGAATCTCAAAGATTATTTTTCCTCTCCTCCTCCTCCTGCTGCAAGGTAAGGTTCTTCCACACTGCCACACACTGAGCCGAGGGCCACACTGGTCTTATTCTCTAGATCTGGAGTTTAGGAACTCGTTCCAGGTTGTGTTTGAATACTCTACTCCCTGATGAGAAACGGGGGAGAAGCGGGGGACGGCGAGGAAAGGTAGAAAGTCTGGAGTTAGACTTTTGATACAGAGGTAGGCCAGAACCGGATATTGAAACTAGCTTGTTATCAGGGGCCTCTCTCTGTCCTGTGGAGGATCTGAACATAATGCGCCGGGGTCTTTGGGTGGCGACCCGAGACAGCCGGGTTTCTAGGGGTTAACACGAGGCTACGTGGCGCCCGACAGCGTGGCTGGAGAAAAAACAGTAGTTGGTTCTCCTGTCTGTACACAGGCAGGGTGCTAAATGAACTGTTTTGTCCACCAGCCAGTAAACGCTCAAAGTCTACCACTCAGTAGATTACCATTGTTTTTAGCTGCTGATGAAGTAAATCTAGCAGACATTTGCATATTTTACCAGTAACTGGCTGGTAGATGGTGCCATGTTTTTTTATTGAGTTAAACTACAAGAAGCTAAAGTGTCTCTGAGATATTAGAGGTGTCTTGAAACTGAGTAACAAAGCAGCAAAAGCAGGCTGCTGCCCTGTGCAGGGGGGACTGAGCCTTGTCCTGGAGTAAAGCTTAAGAAAAGAAGAGGATGCTGCCTTCACTCTCCGGGGGTGAGCGCTTCACTATAAAGGTTCTTTGTTTTAAAGAGAGGGTGTTGTGTATAATTCAGTTTCTTAATGTTTAACTATACTGCAAAGATGAGCATCATAAAGTTAGCATATAAAAAGTATTTGATAGAATTGGACAGGAAATGTGTTTAACTGTGTTTCACTTAACAAGAGAAATCATCTAAAGATTATTCTTCATTTTATTTCTTTGTTTTTACCCTTTAAGGAATCATCTCATAAGATAAGATTACTTGAAGTAAAATTGCTGAACACATTGCTAAAGTCACCTTATAAACGTATGTTGCTTAAACTCATTGCTTCATCACCATGATGATAATGTTGTGTACTCATGATGTTTTGTAAGTAAAGAATGTATTTTTACTTTAACACTTACTCTTCACTCTGACAAGAAGTATATCTTTCAGTCAGTTTATATCAAAGTTGATTCCTTGAGTGTATTTGCTTATATGCACTGTTGAATCAAGTGTTGCTTTAGTGTATTTGGTGATCAGGATTTTTAAATGTTCTGGAAATTAGAATTTTTTTTGGAAATATTTTATGTACTGTTATTACAAAATATTTAGAACGATAGAAGATGACTTTTGGTTTTAACATTTAAAGACATGAAAGTCTGACACACAGCAGTTTGCTGCCTAACCACAGGGGCGAGCCTCTGAAGACCGACAGGAAGTCCGCCTCCTGCCATCAGAGATAGGGTTTGTTGGTTGTGATGAAATCAGCTCTATAAAATGTGTGAAATGTATTAACATGTGATAAACCCGATGTTTTAAGAATGTAATAAGAATGATCAATAACTGAGGATGCTGTTTTTAATAATAAATGTACTTTACCTGACAGAGTATCAGGATACAGAAAGTGTATTACTGGTATTAACCGGTTTATAATTATTTAGTTTAAATAGTTTGATCTGATTAACCTGCTTTAATGTTAAAGAAATAGTTTGATCCTAGTATTTTTTATTATTATTTTATTATACAACAGTTCAGCTCTGTGAAGCTGTATAATCCCAGTTACGTTACCGATCCGTAGAGGAAGACATTGGGTTGTCTTGCTAGTTGTTAGCCGGCAGGTCCATTCAGTCTTTTGCTGTGTCGTGTTCGGATCGTCCAGATGAGAGGGTCTGGCCCTTCGTCTGTTCTCCTCAGAGTTAGCAGCTTAGCTAACTCAGCTGGTGGCAGGAATGTATAGCAGAACTTTATGTTCTGCTCCAAGCGAATTGCATGATTTAATACTATATAATTTACAACAGGCTGAATAAAAACTGAAAAAAAATATATATACTGACCAATCATAAAAATGGTGTTGAATTAAACTGAGAAATGTTTTTAGATAGATTATGTCTGTGTGGTTTCATTGTTTGGATGGTATTACTGCAAACAATGACAAATATTTTAGCCAAAATCTCTGTTCACACCACCCTTTACAATTATTCAGATTCATTAGCAATTTCTCAGCAAGAACATGAGTTCTGTGGAGCTCATTAGGAGTGAGCTTTTTCTGTTCATAGTTTTACTGCAGCTGTTTGAAAGACAGCTACTCAGTGCTGTGCGAGTCCTGTACTTCTGATTAGAAATCATTTATAAAAGGAAGACATGCTCCAATACTGCACACAAGGCCTACTACTTCTAATCCACTGATGTTCATGAAAAATCCTCTGCAAAAGTCTTTTCAATCAAAGCATTTGTTTTAGCCTATTTATAGTTAATAAGTTATGGACATGTTGATTTAATAAGTGAATAAAATACAATTCACATCCCTTTTGTTTTTTGTGTTCTCCCTGTCATACAATGCTGGCCTGTCTTTATTATTGTCAGCTGTGTATTCAGCTCTGACTAACTGACCACTAGTCTATTGAGTTGTGACAGAGAGAGACTGAGTTCATCTGTTCACACTGATTTCAATAGCAGATAGCTTATTATAATGTCCACTGGTATCAATCTTAATACTTTCCTGAAAACATGTTTTAACTTATGATATACCACCACTGGCACACCATTCTGTTATGATCACAAATGAACAGCTTCCTCTGTGAGGTCCCTGTGATCCCAACAATATGCATCAAGTGTTTGTTCCAGAAATAATGTCAGAACAAACACCAACAAGGAAGAGTGCACAGTCTGTCCCCTGTCAAGTGGATTAATCATCATGTAAACCTCCTGATCCAAACTCAGAGGGCAGAGGGGCATCGAGTACAGGAGACAGGCAGGATGTCCTAAACCAATGAGCATTAACATTAAACATTAATTACTGAAACAGCTGGACGATGTTCTGTGGCTGCAGTAACGACCTCACATCAGCACGTACAGATATTTGTTCTTCTTTTCTTATTTGATTAAATAAAAGTTAAATGTGACAAATGTAGTGGAATGATGATAGAAAGTGAAAGACAGCAGTTTGTGATTTGATATGATTGTGGGTAAACTATAGGTACACTGTGTTTGTGTGAACTTCACCTCACAGCTTTAGTGATGTCACTGAACAATGTTAGGTAGATATTAAAAACCTGCTCCCTTTAATAACCTGATCTCTCAAACAGGTTTCACTCTGAAGAATGGAAGGTCTCTACGTTACCAGCAGCTCACAGGACCAAAGCTACGATTACAGCAGCACCACCTTCAACTACCAGGATTACAATGAGCACTATGAGTATCTCAAAAAACTTCGTCTCATCTTAAATGTGGTCACATGCATAATCATTGCTGTCGGCCTTCCTCTGACCCTGGTGGCCATCTATGCTCTTTATTCTATGGTATGTACATTCTGACTAAGAGTTATTTATTTCCTGTTGTGTGGTGTGTCTGTCCTACAGTCTGTCTGTCTGTAAAGGATCTGGATCTGGTTTGGGGGCTGGGACAAAGGCTTGGAATGATCTATAACCTGACAGGAATAATTGACTCCAGAATTCAAATGTCCATGAAGCTGATTGGACCCTAAACACATGCAGTTTCCATGTGTGGCTCCATTCCAGCCTTCTCTTAAACTGACTCTATCAAGTTCTTTGCCTCCAGTTCCTATTTGTGCGATCCTCCCTGAAATGCTGATTCAAGGAGGAGAGATTCTCACCTTGCAAACACAAACATGAGCCTCAAACTGCAACTCCGGTCTGGATAAATCCAGCTCATGTGTTTGAGCCAGAATGCTTCATATCTGTGGCTGAAAAACTGCTGCAGAAGCTGCAGGAAATCTGGCCTTTAGTCTTGTTCCTGCACTGATTGGCCAGTGGGTCATATCTGAGATTCCTGTTGGATGGAAAAAGTCAGAAATGTCTCTGACTGCAGCTGCTGGGCAGAGCAAGATGACAGATTTGGGAGTAGGTGGACTTCACAACATGTTTCCAACTGCTTGTTGACTTTTACCAATGTTTTCCTGCAGGTGAGAAGTGATCAAGTTGCTCCCATCTACCTCATCAACCTCCTTGTTTCCGATATCCTTCAGTTCTGCTGCATCATTTTTCAGGTCGCACCAGATGTGGATTGGAAGATAATAAGATCTTCAATGATATTTACGACTCTGCTCTATTTGCCAGTGTTACTTCATGGTCTGCATCGCCCTGGAAAGGTATCTATCTGTCTATCCAGTATGTGTGGAGCTCCTTCTGTGTCTGAACATTATATTAGTTTATAACTCTGAAGCTCCTCAAGACTTTGTGTCCATCTTGTATTACAGGTATTTGGTCATCGCCCACCCACTGTGGTACCGCTGCAGACGAACCATCAAGACCTCTGTGGCGCTCTGTGTCCTGGTCTGGGTCCTTACTCTTGTCTGTTTCATCCTTAGCTCTGTCTTTTTCAACTACTTATATTCTCAGTATCGGGTGACATTCTTAATCGTCGCCCTCGTCCTCCTCCTTCCCTTCCCTCTGTTAATATTCTCCCTGGTTGGGACCCTCAAAGCCCTGTCTGCTTCCATCTCGGTCCCCTCTGATGAAAAACGACGAATTGTGGGAATTTTAGTTCTGGTGCTGCTTATTTACACTCTGCTGTTCCTGCCCAGCATCATTTGCTTCCTGCAAGAAAACTATGACCTGACCCTCGACCTCCTGTCTATCATCTTCATTAGGCTGAGTCCTCTTGCAGACTTTTTCCTGTATGTCTTCATGAGGAAAGGGTTCATAGACAAGCTTTTGGCCTCTGTGTGTTGCTGCAGAATGGACAGCAATGATATCAGCAGTCCACCAGTATGAATGACGACAACATTTCCACAGTCAGCTTCATGTAGGCAGAGAAAGGGAGAGGGAGAGAGAGAAAGAGGAGGAAACAGGAGGAGAAATGGAGGCCAATAGAAAGGATAGAGACGAGACAGATCCTGTCATCTACTGAGACCATTTCCAATAAGACACCTAACTGTAGAGAACAGGAAGCACTGTTTGGACTCTGCTGTGGGAGAAGTGGCTGCTGGGAAATGTTTTGGTCAACTTGCTCTGGTTCACTGTGATGGCTTCAACACATGGAAATAAAATGTGTTTTATTAGTTTGGAGCTGGAAGTTGATGTCTGTCATTATTCTCCTTTAATCCCAGAAGCAAAGCAGATATTATTTTAGATGAACTGAGCTCATTCTAGCCGCTGTTGTGTTTTTGGCAATCTGGATAAAATCTTAAACCACAGTTTATGTCAGTTTCAATGAAATTGTACATTTTCTGGAAATCCAATAAAAATGAGTTTGTAGACCAAACTGTGAATGTTTGTCTTTGAGCAACTCAGTGAATTAAATGTTGACAAATGAAGGTTCAACAAAATCTCTGCTGGTTGACAAATCTCTATTGTCTATATGAACATAAAGCCCAACCTGCTGTTACCAGGGAGGCATCCTGCACTTTCTGACCAAATGAGGTTTCCTCACAGCTCTTAAAGCTTTCAGACTTTTTTAGATAATAATTTGGGGCAGAAATGATAAAGTGTGACAGGACAGTCACAACAGATTAATATCTAATATGAAACTAAAACTCTGTAGACGGAGGTCTGGTGAGTCATTGTTTATTAACAAATAACAAAAAACTTACAGTTCAGCGGCGAAGGTGGCAGTCTGAGATGAAGAAACAACCAGAAAAACAGTGAGCACAGACACAGGAAGTGAAACAACACAAGGGGAAGAAAAACTGCAAAATAAAACAGGAAACAAGAAACACAAACAACATCAGCTTGATTAATGTGTGTGTGTTTTCAGACACGGTTTAGACAAAACCAACATCAGTTTCTTCTCCTTCATCAGTAGAAAGACATGGTTTATTGTTCAAGTGAAACGTTTTATCTCATTTCTCCACTTTGACTGAGCCTGTGGGACTTTCAGCAGGACATCAGTGAGCTGTTTTACTGCTCGGACTGCTGCTATATTTCCTGTAAACCACCAGATGGCAGTGTGCCGGCTGAGTTCGCTGCCCACAAGCTTCAAATCTTTTCTCAGCACAAACCAGAGGAAAGCCCACAAGCTGCATGAAGCTCTGCTCAGCCCACACTGGTTCTGATGGTCCAGGTCAGTCTGCTTTAGCTAGTTACTATAAAACAAAGAAGAAAAAGGCCCATAAACAGCTGTAGAACCTGGAGACAATAGTACCTAATTATCTAAAGTGCAGACTGTGAATAAGAGTAAGAAGTCTGTGTGATGGACAGCGAGCATCAGCCACAAATGCTCCAGGGTTTCCTCCTGGGAGCAGACAAGGCAGCCAGCACTAGTTGTGGCGTCGTCATGTGCCACATATCTGTTCGTGGCCACAGCCCCATGCAGGATCCTCCACTTGAGATCTGCAGTACGTTTCTCTATGGGGGTCTTACACAGCGACCTCCAGCTGCCCCGAGGAGAAGAGCCTGGTGCAAACACTTCTGACCACCTGGATTCTTTCAGTTCTGCCAGTGCAGCCAGGTCGAGGACTTTAACACTTGTGATGTATGATGTCTCTCTGTTTAGCCCATTCAAGGTTCCACATTGGGTTGTTTTAAAGGAAAGGAGTAACCCTGCTTTCTCCTCCCAATCTTCACTGGCCGGTGAAAGGTGCAGGTGAACAGGGTAAGACTTTCCTAGTTCATTACTCACATAGAGATAATTTTGCATTACAGGTTTTCTGAAATTGTGTCTAAATATGAAAATGAGGCAGTATCTAATGAAGTATGAGCTCATTTGAATCTTTTTCAAGAGCTGAAAACTGAACACTGATTAAGTCGGGTTCAAAATGATTGTTGATATAGATGTGAAGATTCTCAGTCATCCAGGTCATAGTTATCCAAAGGAGGTTAAAGTCAAGGGCACCAGGACTTGGTTGAAGATACTGGAAGACGTTTCGTCCGTCATCCGAGAGACTTCTTCAGTTCTGACTGACTGGTAGGGAAACTCAGCTGTTTAACCTCTGAGAGGTAGTTTGCCAGGATCGTGATACCGCTGGTTCGTTAGTGCTCCTGGCTGTGGTAACGACAGTCTTCTAGTATCTTCAACCAAGTCCAGTTGCCCTTGACAGAGGGAATTTTAGATATCTATTTTCATTCCTCCATAAATCAGAAAATAATGTCGACAAGCAGAAAATTAAATGTTCCATAATCCAGGCTGTGAATGATATGTGAACAAACCCCTCAGTAAAAAGTCTACTGTACATCAAAAAGCAATTCATTTCGGTCACTGGCTTTATTTGGAAATATTTCCGCTTTGTCCTAGTCCATCTCCAAGGCCGCTGCAGGAGGGCCCGAGAATTCACCTGAGAACACAAAATGAGCCTAATTGTTTTTGTAATCTGTAATTCGTGTTACTGGCAATTTGGTAGATTTCCCCTGTAATGTAGCTCATTGTTCTGTGGAAGGTAATGAAGTCAAAGGGCAAAGGGCCATTCGACAGGTGGACAAGATTGAAGAAGACAGCCTGAACATCCTAGAACAATGCTCCACACCTCAAATCACTCCAGTAGATGGACAAGATTCCTGCTGATGTGGCTGCAGTACGGCTTCACATCACATCTAAAGAACATGTCCACACATCACAGGAAGTGTTGTTATTTTAATGTTTGTTGTTTTATTAAATCATTCAAGCTGGTAATCTGACAAATATTGGAGACTGACTATAACATAAAAAGACACCATGAGACACGTTCTATTCATAAGAAATAAGAAAACAATCAGCTCTCGTGCTGAAACTTTGTTTTATACACAGGCAACAGGTGTGACAGCAGAATGGATCATAAGAAACGACAAACAAGCTGAACAAACCACAAAATAGCTTCAAACTGGATCTGTTAAGTATCTAGATGTTATCTAAATGTGTCTTTCCTCTGTTGTTCTGATGGACTTTACAGACACTGTGTACATGCTGCCTTAATTTCTTTAGAAGCAGCTTTGTATTGTGAGAAGGGTACATGATGCTCACTTTATATTGTATGTAACTTGTGTTGCAATACTTTGAGGCTTAGATAAAGGAAGTTGTGTGACACAAACACATACCATACCTGGTGATTCATCATCCACACCCAATCACAAGCACACATATGCATATCACTAATCACACAGACACACAGACACACCACTCTGGGTGCGGTTACCTCTATAAATTGTCAGGCTGCATAGGAAGAGACAGACTCCTCTGCTTACTGCTTCAGAGTAGACTCTGAGTTGGTGTGAGCAGTCTCCAGATATATATCTGCAATTGCTTTTGTTTTGGTAATAAAGATCTCGAAACTTAAGGCACTGTCTCATTTGATCTCTTCTCATCAACGGACCCGGTGAAGTCGGCGCACTTCAACAGTATTCAAAGCACAAAGCATCAAACTGTATATAGAACTCATGCCACTCATGACATAGTTTACTTGCATGAACCATTTTTTAAAGAAAACATGAATATGCTGAGTGTGCAGCAGCTTAGAACTGGAGGTGTACAGCATACTGCTGTTAAATCAGTTACATGTCATCTAATCTGCTTCTCTCCCTCACACACCTGATCCAGATCCACAATCACACACTGGACCAACATTCACCCCGCCGGATCATTGAGTCATCATCCATATGGCTGTTCACGCACCAGCCAACCAGACTTTTGAACTTGTTGTTGAGAACTTTGATTTTTGATCACTCGTCTGCCTGCCTTGCTCACTCTAATCTCTCTCACCGGAAACATCACTCGACACCAGAGACAGCTTTAGACTCGGACTGAAGTTGCCCTTAAGTCACACACACAGTGACTTCAGACTTTACTTAATTGACACTCCCACACCTGAGGCTGATCTCCATTAACACATCTGCCCTCCATCAATCACCCCCACTATTTGAGACCAGACCAGCTGTCCAGTCTGCACCAGATCGTTGAGTCTTTCGAGAAACCACGCACTCTCTTCACAGAGTTTATATACAGGAAATCATGCTCAAAGAGCCCAAACTTGACCACAGTGATTTTAAGAATTCTAGACCTACTTCTTAATGACCGGTTTAATCAAAAGTCTTAGAGAAGATTGTCCATTTATATTTGAGTTGAACACAACGTTCTTCATAGTTATGGATAATGCCGCCTATTTTTTGGCCCCTGTAACCTGTGGTAATCAAGACGGCTCCCTCAGACCCTCAGTTGGCCTGTTTATATATGCTGCCATTAGGTCACACTATACAGAAACACAAAATAAAATACCATTGTTATGCTGATGACACACAACTGTACGTCCCATTAAATGGAACATACTGTAGATAATCTTCTCTGCTCTATGGCTGAAATAAAGTGCGATGTCCCCAAACCACCTTCAATAAATGAAAATAAATCTAATATCATTGTCTGTCTAGAGAAACATCTTGGATCTGTGTCTGCAAGTATCACAGCTTCAGCCAGAAACCTGCATCTAATATTTGACTGAAATTTCCTTTGAAAAACACGTTACACAAGTTGTTCAAACATGTTTTAACGTGTTATTAATTGAGAAACACCACAAAAATCTGATCTTTTCTCTCATGGCCTAAACTCGAGCAGGTCATCCATGCGTTTATTTCTTCCAGGTAAGATTTTTGTAATTCACTTTTTGCAGGGTTAAACACAAAAAACTTCTGCAGGTACATAACGCAGCTTTTAACAAACACTAGAAGACAAGATCACATCAGTCCTGTTTTAGCCTCACTCCACTGGGTACCTGTAAGTTTTAGGATTGATTTTAGTGATCACTTGCACTTGCTAAGGGACTACATGGTTCTGCTCCTCTTTGAACCAGTACGCAACCTCAGGTCCTTGGGCAGGGCTCTGTTGGGTGTTAAGGGCGCTTTCACACCTGCAGTTCGGTTCATTTGGAGCAATTGAAAATAATGTTACACTGTTGCATTTCAGTTCTTGTCCGGTTCATGTTCACACTGCAGTTTTACAAACGAACCAGAGAAGTAACCATGATGTTACACAGACTTACAGGTAGCTTGTTGATTGGACAGCTTTGGCGATTGTCATCCTGCATCATCAGGACCCACGTGGGGAAATCAAACTCCGGTGACTGATTTTTGTATGATACTATTTATTTTTAACTATGTATGTAACTTTGATGGAAGTTCTGTATAAATAAAGTTTATTATTATAATATATCCTGCTCCCTGAAGTGCCATGCTAACAAGAAAATCAGTGTCAGTGTTCATAATGATGTAGCTGATCAGTATGTGTGTCATCTGAATGGAACTGAAATTACTTAATCCTGAATTAAGGTTTTGATCTGTGTTCACTGTGCAGCTGATCAAGTCATTTAAGATTTTAGCAGTTTATCTTCCAGAAATGCAGTTTGTAGTTTCCAAAGTGTCCCCTGCAGAAAGCCAAGGTATTTAAAGAAGCAGTCTGACAGTTTGGGAAATCTGCTTGTTCTTGTTGGATCTCAGCTAATAATGAGCTAAAGCTTAAAAAGGGGAAACATACAGTAGACTTTACTAACTTCTACTGAAACATGTTGGTCTGATCTGTTGTGACTGTCCCTGTCACACTTTATCATTTCTGCCCCAAATTATTATCTAAAAAAGTCTGAAAACTGAAAGTGCAGGATGCCTCCCTGGTAACAGCAGGTTGGGCTTTATGTTCATATAGAGATTTGTCAACCAGCAGAGATTTTGTTGAACCTTCATTTGTCAGCATTTAATTCACTGAGTTGCTCAAAGACAAACATTCACAGTTTGGTCTACAAACTGATTTTTATTGGATTTCCAGAAAATGGACAATTTCATATAAACTGACATAAACTGTGGTTTAAGATTTTATCCATATTGCCAAGCACAGAACAGCTGCTGCAAAACAGCTGCTCTTAATCCCATCCTAAACAGCAGCCACTTCTCCCACAGCAGAGTCCAAACAGTGCTTCCTGTTCTCTACAGTTAGGTGTCTTATTGGAAATGGTCTCAGTAGATGACAGGATCTGTCTCGTCTCTATCCTTTCTATTGGCCTCCATTTCTCCTCCTGTTTCCTCCCCTTTCTCTCTCTCCCTCTTTCTCTGACTACATGAAGCTGACTGTGGAAATGTTGTCATCATTCATACTGATGGACTGCTGATATCATTGCTGTCCATTCTGCAGCAACACACAGAGGCCAAAAGCTTGTCTATGGTCCCTTTCCTCATGAAGACATACAGGAACAAGTCTGCAACAGGACTGAACCTGACAAAGATGAAAGACAGGCTGTTGAGTCTCAAGTCTTCTAGGGTATTGTCATTGAATACTTTCAGGCACCAAATGATTCTGGGCAGGAACAGCAGCGTGTAAATAAGCAGCACCAGAACTAAAATTCCCACAATTCGTCGTTTTTCATCAGAGCGAACCGAAATGGTAGCAGACAGGGCTTTGAGGGTCCCAACCAGGAAGAATATTAACAGTGGGAAGGGGGGGAGGAGGAGGATAGGGAAGATAATGTATCTGATCAGAACTCCAGAGAAAAATATAAGAAAAGCACAGACAAGAGAAAGGACCCAGACCAGGACACAGACCGCCACAGAGGTCTTGATGGTTCGTCTGGAGCGGTACCACAGTGGGTGGGCGATGACCAAATACCTGTAATACAAGATGGACACAAAGTCTTTGAGGAGCTTCAGAGTTATAAACTAATATAATGTTCAGACACAGAAGGAGCTCCACACATACTGGATAGACAGATAGATACCTTTCCAGGGCGATGCAGACCATGAAGTAAACACTGGCAAACAGAGCAGAGAAGTAAATACAATAGAAGATGAAATATATATTCTCATCCACATTTGGTGCCACGTCAACGATCATGCAGCAGAACTGAAGGACGTCAGTAATGAGAAGGTTGATGAGGTAGATGGGAGCAACATGATCACTTCTCACCTGCAGGAAAACATTGGTAAAAGTCAACAAGCAGTTGGAAACATGTTGTGAAGTCCACCTCCTCCCAAATCTGTCATCTTGCTCTGCCCAGCAGCTGCAGTCAGAAATGTCAGAAAAAGTCAGAAATGGCTCTTTCTGACTTTTTCCATCCAACAGAAATCTCAGATATGACCCACTGGCCAATCACTGCAGGAACAAGACTAAGGGCCAGATTTCCTGCAGCTTCTGCAGCAGTTTTTCAGCCACAGATATGAAGCATTCTGGCTCAAACACATGAGCTGGATTTATCCAGACCGGAGTCGCAGTTTGAGGCACATGTTTGTGTTTGCAAGGTGAGCCTCTCTCCTCCTTGAATCTGCATTTCAGGGAAGATCGCACAACTAAGAACTGGAGACATGTTAACAGAGGTTCATTATGTTTTCACTGGACTTACTTAGAAACATAATAATAAGGTGCATTACATATAGGCTTACATTTAACAACAAACAGTTATTAAACTCAGCATAGGGTTGGGTTTATGTGAGCAGTGGTTATCGTTAGGGTGAGTCTCCAGGGATCAAAAGTGATGGAAATAGGACATTTTACATTAGAGCTTCCACCACACAGTGAGGATCAGTGTCAGTCGTCCTACGAGCAAGGGCTCATTCAAATGATCAAATACTATATATTATATAGTTAATACTATAATAATTATTTACAGGATTACAATAACAAAGTTATATACAGCAACATATATATAATCTGGTTATAACAGAAACAGGCAATCATTAAATTATTAAGTTTTAATAAGCAGATAAATTATAGAACTACCCATCAGGCTGACTGATATCAGTCTCCTGCTGCTGCCAGTTACTGTCATGATTAGGCTTTGCCACCTCCCCTTTCCTTTTGTTTCCTCTGTTTTTCCCTTCCCTGCTGTCTCTGTCAGTGTTTTGTCTGTCATGTCCTGTGTATGTGTGTGTGTGGGCGTGTCTGGCTCTGGCTCGTCACCACCTGCAGCATCAGTTCATCAGTTTACCTCCCTGGTATATTGCTCCGGCCAGCTCTCAGATCTCAAAACTTTAACTAGGTTTAAACTCTGTTTCAAACAACCTATTTCTTTGTCTACTCTAGTTGTTTCCAGTGTGTAAGATGCTGCCTGCCTACCTGCCTGCCTCTCAGCCGCCCAGCACTGACTCCCAGGATGCCATAGTCAATCCCCACAGTATCTGGAGTCCTCCGTCCCATTCCCAACCGTCTGGTTATCTCTGTGCTCTTGGAAAATAAACCTGCCAGTGTTTTTGACATCTAGCCTGTGTCCGTTCTTGAATCCCTAGTGAAACCTAACAGCACGAACTGGCCAGTTATGGATTCAGAGGAAATGGCGCCAGGTGCTCTGGAGAGTCAGTCAGCCCTCGCCAGCCAAGGAATCCTCCCCTTCACCGTGCTTCTCGACCAGTTGTTGCGACTGAGTCCTACGTTCAGGACCATGAGCCTTTTTCTGGGAAATTTTCACTGTGCCGTCGTTTCCTGCTTCATTGTGCCATGGTGTTCGCCCAACCAGACCTTTGCTTCAGATCCTGCTACGGTACATTACATCCTGGGTCTGTTAAGAGGGAGAGCACTAGCCTGGACTGAAGCAGTAAATGTTAATATTCCCATTATGACTCTGTTTTTGCTGCAGTTTAAGGCTATGCTCCAACAGGTTTTTGACCACCCTGATCACTGTGGTGATACATCTCAACGAGTGCTGAACTCCAGCAAGGAAACAATACAGTGGCAGACTACTCAGTGGAGTTCAGAACTCTGGCTGCTGACGCTTGCTGGAATGATGCAGCACTTCAGTGGGTATTCAGGAAGGGGCTTAATGAGAGGATTAAAGATGAGTTGGCTTCACGAGATGACCCTGCCAGTTTGAACTCTCTGATTTCTGTCTATGCGGCTCGACAACTGTCTGCCTAAGCGGCGCAGGGAGCGAGTAAAAATGTCCACCTCCACTCCTCAGCCCCATCACACATTCACTGTTGCTTCCCCTGATATTCCAGCTACTTCCTCTGTGCCCGACCAACATCAAGCTCCATACCTGAGCCCATGCAGTTGGATCCGGCCTGCCTATTCCTAGAGGAACGCTCCCGCCGAGGTAGCTCGGGTGAGTGCCTCTATTGTAGCGTCAAGGGTCATTTTGTTGCCTCATGACCTATTTAACCAAAAGGTCCAGTTCCTCAGTAGGTGTGGGCATACTAGGCCAGAACCCTAGTCTCACTAACAATCCTCTTCGTCTACAAATCCCTGCTAAAATGGTGCCCACCTCAGCTTTCTCTGCCACTCCAGGCCTTGGACTCCTGTACAGAGGGAAATTTTATTGATCAAGATTTGGCCATCCAGTCTGGGTTTCCTCTCGAGCCACTTCCAGAGCCCTGTAATGCCCTGGCCTTAGATGGCCATATCCTAGACCTTGTCCCCCGGTCTACTGAACCTCTCAAGGTGATACTGTCTGGTAATCACCATGAAAACATCTCATTTAAACTAATCTCAGCCCCTCAGACCCCTATCATTTTAGGGTTCCCTTGGCTTAAACTACATAAACCCTGTGTCGTTTGCGCTGCCTCCAGAATCCTGGGCTGGAGCCCTTATTGTCTGTCCATCTGTCTGCAATCTGCACTACCACCAGCAGAGTGCGCTAATTCCCCACTCAACTCAGAGCCTCCCGACTTAACAAACATGCCCTCTGAGATCCTTCTGAATATCATGACCTGAAAGTCTTCATCAAGGATCTAGCGCTGTCCCTTCCGCCTCACAGACCATGTGATTTTGAAATTAAACTGCTCCAGACGCCCCACTTCCATCCAGCAGGCTCTACAACCTCTCTTGCCCTGAAAAAGAGCCCATGGAAATATAAATCAGAGACTCTCTGAAAGTGGTCTGATCCACCCCTCTGCTTCTCCCATTGGTGCAGGCTTCTTTTTTGTGGCTCAGAAAGATAAGTCCCTCCGCCCCTGTATTGATTACCTCAGCCTCAACAATATTCTGCCACTAATACACCCAGCCTTTGAACCCCTGCAGTAGGCCACGTTCTTCTCTAAGCTGGATCTTCAAAACGCCTACCACCTGGTGTGAATAAAAGGATACAAATGGAAGACAGCTTTCAACATCCCTCTCGGCCACTTTGAGTGCCAGGCAATGCCTTCTGGGTTGACTAATACACCTGCTGTATTCAAAAACCTGGTTAATGACGTACTTTGTGACTTCCTGAATCGTTTCATCTTTGTTTACTTGAATGATATTTAGATTTTTTTCAGAGATCCCGTAGAGCACGTTTCCCACGTCCACCAGGTTCTTCAGCGGCTGCTGGAGAAAAGGCTTTACATCAAGGCCGAGAAATGTAAATTTCACTCCAGTTCCGTAAGCTTTTTTGGCTATATAATCAGACGAGGGTAGATGCAGGCAGACCCAGGTGAAATCAAGGCAGTTGTGGAGTGTCTGGTCCCTGCCTCTCGTAAACAACTAGCAGCAGTTTTGGGGTTCGCGAACTTTTACTGTAGATTCATCAAAGATGACAGTAAGGTTGCAGCCCCTTTAACCCAACTAACCTCCACCAAGTCACCTTTCTTCGGGTCTCCTGAAGCCCAGGCTGCTTTTGACAAATTAAAGTCCCTGTTCACGTCTGCTCCATCCTAGTCCATCCAGATCCCTCCAAACAGTTTCATGGAGGATGACACATCACACAGTGGGGTGGGTGCCGTGTTATCTCAGCGTTCAGGCCCAGATCAGAAGATGCACCCCTGCGCCTTCTTCTCACGTCGACTAAACCCCGTGGAGAGGAATTATGATGTGGAGCATCGAGAACTCTTGGCGGTGAAATTGAAATTGGTATCAGAGTGGCAAAGAACAACCCCTTATTGGATGGACTGATCATAAAAACCTTGCTTACATTCTGACCGCCAAGAAGCTCAACTCTCGCCAAGCACGTTGGGCTTTGTTTTTTGGTTGATTTAAATTTCTCACTTACCTACAGACCAGGCTCTTTGTCTGTCATGTCCTGTGTGTGTGTGTGTGTGTGTGTGTGTGTGTGTGGGCGTTTCAGGAGTTTAAATCTAGTTGAAGTTTTGTGATCCGTTTCTTATTCTACTCTAGTTGTTTCCTGTGCATAAGATGCTGCCTGCCTGCCTGCCTCTCAGTCTGCCCAGCATTAACTCCTGGACACCATAGTCAATCGTTGCGGTATCTGGCATCCTCTGTCGCATTCCCAACTATCTGGTTATTAGGCCTATTGTTGTTATTATACATTCTCATTAACATTATAATAAATATCTGTACCACTATTACCTTTATTGTCTGCATTTCTATATGGATATTGTGTTGGTGCGTCCCCAGATGCAGATGGCTGCCCACCCTGAGCCATGGCTCTGCTCAAGGTTTCTGCCTCTTAAATTAATTTTTTCCTTTTCTGTCGTCTAGTGCTGTTCATGGTGGGACTAGTTGGTCTCTGTAAATATCATCACAGAGTACAGTCTAGACCTGCTCTAAATTAAAATCGCAATGAGATAACTGTTGTGAATTGGCGCTATATAAATAAAATTGAACAGAATTTTCACCAAAGAAAAAGATTTAATTTAAATAGGTGGTATTATGCTCATTTTTACGTTCAAAATCCTATTTAGGGGTTTTACCAGGACAGGTTTACATGGTTTCATTTTCAAAAAACACCATATTTCTTTCATACTGCACATTGCTGCAGCTTCTATTTTCACTCTGTGTAGAAGGCTTTGTTTTAGCTACGGAGTGATACATCTTGTCTCAATGATCTTTGCTGGGAGTTGCACATGCGCAATTCTTAGTAGCCAATCAGAAGTAGAGAAGGGCGGGTCAGTGAGAAGCAAACACGGCTTCGATTCAGCTGTACATGTGGCCAACCAGCTTGGCAACATCGACTGGTGCAAGAGTTTGAGTGGTGAGTCTGTAACAAATGTATCTTTAATCCATAAAGTTTTAACTGAGCTCTGTCTCTACATCACAGGAAC